AAAGGTAGAGGTTCCGCTTGCACATATGTGCTAGTCAATCCCAAATGTAGGGGGCAGTACTAATTTCCATTTCATAGCTGAAGAGCCAGCACTGTCCAAAGATGTCTCTGTGGTCATGTGGCCGGCATAACTAAATGCCAAAGGCACACAGAACGCTGTTACTTTCCCACCAAAGGTGGTTCCTATTTTTCTACTTGCATTTTTACATGCTTTTGAACTGCTAGGTTGGCAGAAGCTGAGACAAGTAATGGGAGCTCACGCCATTTTGCAGCGCTAGGGATTCGAATCTCCAAACTGCCGACGTCTCTTGATCAACAAGTTCAGCATCTTAACCACTGAGGCAATGCGTTGCTCTAGATAACATTCAGCCCTCCTAATTGTGTCTTCCAACTATTCCTCATTATTAAAAGATGCTTATTCCTCAACTGCATGGCTAAAACAAACACACAACTTGTCTAAGTGAAAAGCTGCCCTACAATGGCAGGCTGGCTGGCTGGCTGAATGGATGGATGGACGGACCTTAGCAATTTTCTGATGCACTTAGCTGCAAAGGTCTGAAACAAGAATCTCAGCCAAATTGAAGTAGGAACAAGAACTGTGAATTATGCAGTGTGGTTGAATAATCAACAGCATCTCTTTGACCCTGATTGGACTGGGCCTATTGGCCAGCTGCAATTCTTCTCACAACTTTCATTTTTTAATAAATTTATTAAAACCCCATAACTTGGATTCAAAAACTTTTCCCAGTACACAGATTGTTCTTTTTCGAACTTTGGAGATATATCACCCACTAGTGAAAACCCAGCAGTGAAATGGAGGACAGAGAGGAATCTTCATTAATTTCCTGACCAATTCCTCCCAAAATCTCCTCTGGAAGGCAAATTTGGTGGTGGTGGGGGGGGACTCTGTTGCATTTCTAAATAGGATCGCTAAGATATACAGCTCTGCAAATATAACTATGATAGAAAAGAGATTACATGTATAGTTTTCTTTTTGTTATAAAAAATCTATAGCAAATTAGATATTTATCAACAAAAGAACATTGTTCTGTGCAACTCTGCTTTTTCATTTCTGGACTAGCTACTCATATGAACCCCCATAACCTGAAGCAGTCCTCAAACAAATCTCAATGTTATCTGAAGTCTGTGTAGCCATTGTCAACTTCTATCACATCTCATCCTAATGGGCCCTAATTGTAGTAGTGGAAGAAAAGGTATTTTAACATAGAATGTTTCCCTTTTTTGCTATCTTATTAGATGGTTGTATGGAGGCTCTATTGAAGGAGATCAATGAAACTTGAGATGTGATTAACTCTGTTCCTATATCTATTCTAATAAATGGTCATAAGGAAACATAATGGATGATGTTTTCTGAATGGGAATGTTTTGTAACCCATGAAATATAGAAATATTTAAAGAATTAAAATTATAATTAGATAACCAACATCAATTGGCAATGGCCCCACTTAAAGTCAATGCTTGTTTGACCCCCATTTTCAAGAAACTAAAAAGTTTATAGTTACGTTCTTGTAAAAGCAAAACTCATGTATAATATCGCATGTATTACCATACTGTTGAGACAGACATATGTTTTTTTTTAATTAATTGAAAAATATAGGGGATTCTTTTTCATTTATTTTGTCATGATTTTTCTGTTTGCAGTATATTTATTATACCAACAAATGTGTTATACAAATTCTGAAACAGCTCCTAGGAATGCTGGTTGCAGAAAATTCTATGGAATGAAACTGGTCCATCTCCAAGCAACAACTTGCAAATGTTCTATTTGAATTTTTAATATTTTTTTAAAAAAAATTCTGTGATGAAAGAAATTGGCTTTCAAATAGATACTACATCTTGGCTTCTTAAACCTGGTGCAATTGGCAAAGTCAGAGGCTATTAACAGTGTCCAGAATTTTTCAAAGGTAATTCTTAGAAAAATTATCAGACAATATAATGATGTCTTTCCTGGAGTTGAGACATGGAAGAAAGCAACGTCAATCTGTTTTTGTGTACTTTTTTCATAGCCTGCCCACCCTGAGTGCATCCATGCGAGTGAAAACAAAACAGAACAAAAGCAGGTTTGCTACCCTGCTGTTTTGTAAGATAAGCTAGCTAGGCTAACATTCTTCACCAACCTTGTTGGAAAGGTGCCAGACTGAAGTGGAACACTTTCACATTTTGGGAAAAGGGGGGTGTTGAAGAATCCATCAACTACTGTGGCAAATATTTGAAGGGGAGCAGCTGGAAAAATGGAAAAAGAGGATGCTAATGCTCAAGAACCTCCGGGAAAATAGAGTGGAAAGGGTTGTCAGGAGACTGGAGAAGGAGGAAGGGAAATAAAGGTAGGGCTGGAAAAACAGACACATAAGAAAGGAGTTGAATTTGAGAGAAAGCAACTGAAAATGTGATGGAGAAAAAATGGAAGAGCAACAGTGGGTGAATGGGGTGGGGAAGGGGAAGAGAAAGTATGAACATCACAAGGATGTCTGCAGGGTAGAGCTAGAGCAGCTACCATCTTGATTTTTTTAAACCATGCCCTGTGGATACCCCTGGTATGGGGCGAGGGAACATAATGGGCAGAATCTAACCATTTGTACTTTTGTGCGAGGTAGATGTGGAGTTACTAGGCATAGAAGTGAGCAAGTGAACAGGGAAAGCCATCTGAGAGGTTCAACAGGGAAGCTGAAGCGATAATTATTTTTTAAAAAATAGTTTGTCTAAATTAAATCCACAATTTCCTATCCTACATGAGACGGGAATCTTTCTGCTCCCATGATCTTTAAAAACAAGCCTTAGGACAGAGTATTAGGCAAGCTTCTGCAGTTGTGACCCACCATATTTGTGATTTGTTTGTATTCCTGGCATATATATGTAGCAACCATAGGCTCATAATTGGCTTGTGGAGGGGGGACCCCAGGACAGAAGGATAGCCATACTTCAACTGATGAGAGAGGATGAAGCTGTATCAGATACAGAAAAGGAGGCACTAACAGGAACTCTTCAGGAGAAAATTGAACGAAGAAGCAAATGTAGTGAAAAAGAAGGGTATGGTTTTATCCTCACATCCTACTAGCCCCTCATGGTATGAAGATGCCCCGATAATGATCTTTGTAGGTCACAACACTGAAAACATTGCTCTTGCCCACCAGAGACACAGCTTGTTTAGCTGTTTCTGCTTTGACACATGCACAGAGAGACATGTCTCACCTATCATTTGGGTTGGTAAAATAAGTGGAGGGAGCTATTTTTAAAAACATCCTTGTTCTGTCCCACAGATCTGTGTTTAAAATCAGGGCCTGTGCAGAATATCTACTATCTCCTGGGAAGCACCCACTGGTCCTACAGATCAAACACTGCTGGTCATCCATTAGTTCCTAGAAAAGCAAGAGAACAAAAGCCACCTACTTTACCGATTCTGCAGATCTTCCACACCTGGGATGGTTAAATGCTATCTAATAAAGGAAGAGGGCTTGCTATACCAAGCAGAAATAGCTTCTCTACTATGCACTCATTAGTTATATATTGGGAACAGGTTTTGACAGATGATTACAACCCTGGATTTAATTGTCTGTCAAAACTTGTTTCTTCCCTTAGGTTGATACCATTATAAAAATCCACTGACATTTTCATCAAATTGTTTCCCCCCATAAGTACATAGTCTGCTTTTTACAGATCAACCAAGTGTAGAATAGCACAAAGGACACCAGCCTTGTTGTTGTTGCTGTTGTTGTTGTTGTTGTTGTTGTGTCTCATAAATCAGAATACAGCATGGACTCAGGATTGTTGTGCTAAATCCTGGATTATATAGGGAGTCAGACTTGATCATCCCTTCAGTCCCTTCCAACTTTATGATTATAGAATTCATATTATGGTATTTGGAGAAAAGCATAGTAACATTGGACAACCAATATTGTCCAACTATTGGTTGTCCAACCAATTAAGATCAGACAATCATTTGTCTGAAATTGTATAGAGTAAGGATGGCTAACCTTTTTATCGTCACATGCCGACAGACCTAATGCAATGCATGCACAAGACCCCCCTGTGCTCTCCCTCGCACATGTGCATCACCCCCATACCCCATTTTGGGGTTAGCGGGGTCCCTAAAGCCTCTTGGGATCAAAAATGGCCACGGGGGAGGTGCTGCACCCCCCACAAATGCACACGCACTCTGCCCCCACGCATGCGCAGCAGAGACCTGAAAATCAGCTGGTCGGTGGGAGGTGCACACACATGCCTGGTAGAGCTCAGCTGGGGCAACAGCTTGCGTGTCCACAGAGAGGGCTCCACGTGACACCGGTGGCATGCATGCCATAGGTTTGCCATAACGGGTGTAGAGTCTCTTGCTTGAGCAGAGGATTGGACTAGAAGATCTCAAAGGTTCTTTCCAACTCTATGATTCTGTTATTAAGAATCGGCTATCTGACAGGGGTAGAGATACAGGGTTGGGAGAGATTTTGCCTCACTGGAACTCAAAACAGTATTCAATGCTCTTGCAGGATAAAAGGTTTCAAATTTGAGGAAAGAAGAGCCTGGATCCCTGAAGGCCAAGAGCAGATGCACCCTTCAAGAAGTTAATAGAAGAGCTGTATAGTTAATTACTCACTCTACAAGCAATTACAACAAATGTGTGCTGGGGGACTGATTGGCTTATGAAGTGTCCCTGTCTGCTAACATCAAAACTCAGGGATGTAAGAGGACAATTTCCAACATCTCCACTGAAATGTTTATAGTCTGCTAATCCATGTATGACAAATGATACTGCAAGGAACAGTCATTTTCCCTTTCCAATACCATATTTCAAGTGCAATGATGCCCTTGGATGCACAGTGCAAATGTTGTAACATCGAGTGAAGCCTTCTGAATGGCAAATCTATCTCACAGTGTTTTAACATTGTTCCCTTAAATGTTAAACAATGTACGTTAACAAAAATAATAATAGTAGTAATGATAGAGCAGGTTCAAAACAGTGTGCTGCCCTCTTTTGGTCACCTACCTCTGTCTTAAAGCAACTGTCCTCAAACTCTTGCTGAAGATTGGCAGAAGTGTCCTTTGAAGACAATCCACTTCTCTTGTTGTACAAAAGAGGAAAATCTATAAAAGGACAAAGGAGTTGTTCGATTAAAATTGATAATGGTGGACATTTCTACTAAGCATGCTTAATCTAAAGAAGAGAAAGCTAACAGGAGAACTGATAGCAGCCTTCCAAGACTTGAAGAGTTGTCAGAGGAAAGAGATTATGGATTTATTCTTTAGGGATCCCTAAATGAAACAGATGGTTGGAACGTTTACAGAAGGAGATCCCATTCAAAAGAAGGAAGAATCTCCCAATTGTGAGAACTGTTAAGTAGTGGAATAATCATGGGTGCTCCATCACCTAGGTTTTAAATAAAAAGACTGGAAATTTGCTTTGGAAAGGATGAGAATACTTGTCCTGGGCAGTGGGTTGTTGCATTAGAAGGCTTCTGATACAACTACAGTTGTGTCAGAAGCACTGAAGTGCTTCTGGTTTGAAAGGATTGAATTGTGACATCACAATTGCCTGGGGGATGCCCAATTGGGGGCTCCTTTCATATCCCCATTAAGTTGCCCATTGAAGTGGTACCCATTTATCTACTTGCGATCATGCACTTTTGAACTGTTGGATTGGCAGGAGGTGGAGCGTATCACAGGGGCTGACCCCACCCCGCAGCAGCAATTGGGTCTCAAACATGAGCCTGCCAATCATCAGCCCAGCATCATAACCTAATGAGCAACCAAGCTCCTCTGATGATTCTATGATTATGATTATGCCCTTAGCTCTGAAATGTGCAGCAGAGTGCATATTGGCTATGGGTATTGCGTTTTAGGAGACCTGGATATTTCATGGAGAAAAACTCACTCTCTGAGAGGAAAAAAAAAAGCCAGATTTGGTATTTCTCTGTACCTGTTTCTTTAAAATCCAATGCCTAGTATGGCTGCAGTCCTAACATGATGTCATATGCAGACCATCCAGCCACAGTCTAATGGTTGGGCGAGATTATTCTCTCCTATTGTAAATCTACGCAGCCTGTCATGCAGGCATTTTGTACTGCTTCCTCTCTCTATCCCTCTAACCCCGCCTTAAGAATTGTGGAGCAGAATTTCCACTGCTGGCCTGCTTCCCACCAACCTTCAGATTTCTTCACAATGGAATTCAAGGCCAGGCAGCTCTTCTCTTTATTGACTGAATGGCTCAGCTCAGCTCCTGGTGGTGCCAATTAAGCTCAGCGGGGGACACAAGCAGCAGCTGTCAAAGACTTGTTGTCGTCGTCCCCCTTCATGCACCAGTAATGGTGGAAATGTTTTGTTCTCTGCAACATGGGAAGCAAGGGACCCTTCGCCCTTTCAATAGGAATTCTTGGCCCACATACTGTAGTATGACTTATACTTTTTTTTTTGTTAGTGGAATAGTAAATGCCAAAAATATTTGTCCGGCTTTGCATGCGTGCAATGCTTGTACTGCTTTTTGAAGCGAGTGACATCATTTCAGCTGAAGCCTGCCCAAATTATCTCTCCACCCCTTTGTCTCTTGTTTTTTTTCTGGTCATATACTCAAAGAATATCCCCAGGTTCAGTATTCCAGGTGCGTCTTTAATATATTGAATAAGTATTGGGGGAAGTCAAAAGAAAATGAGGCTAAATATGATGAATACCTGTCCATATATCCCCATGTAAATTAGGTCATAACAGCAGTGTACACCACTGATTCCATTTTTGAGCGCCTCCTGTCTTCTCCACCTATGAACATCATGTAATCTATGCAACATACCTAAATCTAAAATCTTTAAAGTTACAATTGTTTTCTGAATTGAGAACCAACACTTAGCATATTGAAAGCCATATTACAAAAAAGATAAAAATGCAAGTAGGACCAGGAGAAAACCTGAATCTACTTAACCTAATTTAAATATAACTAAACTTACATACAGTGAATAAGCTATGTATTTAACAATTTGCTTTTTTTATGTAGGCTTTGGGAACAGTTCCCAAGCTCAGCCCGATTTAAAGAGAATAATACAGATTGTACTTCCAAAAATTAAAGAGAGTAACATTCAAATATTAAAACAATGATGTATTTTGAAATCCTAGAAGTCTAACCACTAGGATTCCTGGTTTTCACCTAAATAGAATATAATTATTGAATTGGGCAGAATATTTTAATCAAGGTAATAATTCATTCTAGTAAATAGATTAGCTTGAACATGTTAACATTCAATACGTTCTTCCCACAAGCTTTTAGCTCCCTCTGGAGACGCCTCATCAAACACACAGGGGAAATTTTACAAAATACAAAACGACAGCAGAATTAATAAGCAGCATTTTAAACACAGACTTAATTGAGAAGAACAAATTAAAAATGAGGTGGCAGTAGTTTTGCCACCTGCCTCTCTCTCCTTTGTAAAAGCATTAAGATTTTTTTTTTTTTGCAAATTGTTTATTCTTTAGTTCGTGTGCTAATTGGACAGCTAGGGCAAACAAGGCTTTTTATATCTAAATCTAGTACAAAAATGTAATCAAAGATGCTGTTACCAATGAAGGAAAATATTTGTAGATACAAATAAAGACAATGTTATTCATTATTTGTGGAATTGCCTTAAAGTGAACGTGCATTGTGAATTCAGGAATAAGCTGCATGTCAGAACATTAGATATGATGATGTCAAAAGCTGGGCTCGTCTGCTAGAATAAGGCAGATGGTCTCTGGTGGCAAATGCTTGAGGATGGGAGGGGAGCAGAAAATGAGGCAGGGTCATAATTCAGAAACGGTGGCCACTTTCTCGTATTGCACCATGTGACTTAGGACTAGAGTAGCATGCCCTCCTTCCCTAACCCGAGTTCCAGAGTGCTTCAAAAATTAAGTGTGCAATGGGTGACATGGGTGGGAGAGACCTGATGAGGTGGAAAACAGGCCCTGACTTGTAGCAATAGCAATAGCAGTTAGACTTATATATCGCTTCATAGGGCTTTCAGCCCTCTCTAAGCGGTTTACAGAGTCAGCATATTGCCCCCGGGTCCTCATTTTACCCACCTCGGAAGAATGGAAGGCTGAATCAATCTTGAGCCGGTGAGATTTGAACAGCTGAACTGCAGTCAGCTGAAGTAGCCTGCAGTGCTGCATTTAACCACTGCGCCACCTCGGCTCCATAAGGGCCCTTGAGGGACTGGAAGCAGAGTACAGGGTACCTCAGGCAGGTAGGGCCTGCACTAAGCCTCCCAGGGCCTCCCCTGAGGCCCCTGAGGCTCCTGTGCTCTGCTTAATGACCTGCACATATGTTTAGCAATCCAAACAGCTGTTAACATCTCCCTGCACTTAGCAGCTATGCAACTATGTAATGAGGAGGATCTATCCCAGTTGAGTCAGCGACTACCTGTACTGGCTGCCTAATCTAGGTTGCTTTTCAGATACAGGGAAAGCTACTCCTCCCCTTGCTAGTATCCAAGATCTAAGTATCAGTCCAGAACTTTCTACACCATTCTTCAGAAGGGGAAACAGATAGTAACTTTGCCTCAAGCAAAACATGTTTCCAGCCAGCCTTTTCTTAGAAGTCCAAGATGCTAAAGATGATACAACTTTTTTTCTCAGCACTAAGAATGGAACTCTTCTTAGGAAATAAAGAAAAGAACTCACTGGAGAAAAGCCTAATGCTGGGAAAGATTGAGGGCAAAAGAAGAAGGGGACGTCAGAGAATGAGGTGGCTGGATGGAGTCACCAAAGCAGTTGGCGTGAGCTTAAATGGACTCCATAGGTTGGTAGAGGACAGGAAGGCCTGGAGGAACGTTGTCCATGGGGTTGCGATGGGTTGGACATCATTACACAGTTAACAAGAAGAAGAAGAAGAGTGGAACTCAAAAGAGCTGAGAGGGATCAGACTGTACAACAGGTGATTTCCAGGCCAGGTGGACCAAGCTGTGTTCCATGGAGGAAAATCAAGAAATCTCCTATCTGAGGGTAATGTAAATGAATGTACAATGCACTTTAAATGCAAAGATACATTCATAATGTTTTCCCAGCACTTTGAATGGGCTCAAATGCTTGCTTCATTGATCGAGGCTTGGGAACAGCTGAAAACGAAAGTATTTATAATATATCAAAGAGTTTGTCGGTCCTAGTTTCTACAATAAAGCTTGTACATTCTTCTTGATAGGTTAGACTTATGGCCAATTGTTAAGAATACATTGAAAAGAGAGAGGAGGAGAAATAAAGCAAATCAAGAAGACCCATGTTAGTTATCTAGTGCAACGATACTACAAAATTCATATTGCAAGTATTACAAAGTCCATCCTATGTGGCCCTCGTGTCTTTAAAACTTTGAAGAGGAAAAACTGCCTTACGAATAGCCAACAGGAACAGGGAAGCAAAATATATATATTTTTAAAAGATTAGGTATCTTTCCCACATGTTTTCTCTTATATCAAAGCCATTTCCTTAAAAAATAATTATAATCAAGTCATAAGACTAGGTAGACATTAGAGGTAGTTCTTGACTTACAACCATTCTTTTAGTAAGTGTTTGAAGTTATCACAGCACTGAAAAAAGTGGCTTTCAACTTGTCCTCACACTTATGACTGTTGCAGCATCCCCATGGTCATGTGAATAAAATTTGGGGGCTTGGCAACCATATGTTGCAGAATCAGTTGCAGAATCCCAGGTGATCATGGTTTGTTCCTTCCCTTCTGTGCGACAAGCACACTCAATGGGGGAAGCTGGGTTCAGTTAACAACCTATGTCAGTGATGGCGAACCTTTTTCTTATGGCATGCCAAAATTGTTTGTGTGTGTGTGCACGTTATTGGCGCACCCACGTGCCCACACCAATTCAATCTTCCCCACCCACCTGCACATGTGCACATGACGTTCCCAGCATGGATGCGCATACAACCCCTTCCCATGCTCTGGAGGATTTCCTAAAGCCTGGGGAGGGTGAAAACGGCCTCCCCTTGCCCCCCAGAGGGCCTCTGGAAGCTGAAAACAGATTGTTTCTGAACTTCCGGATAGCAATAGCAGTAGACTTATATACCGCTTCATAGGCCTTTCGGCCTCTCTAAGCGGTTTACAGAGAGTCAGCATATTGCC